TTTTAAAGTTTTAAAGAGATGGTGGGTCTCATTATGTTTCCTAAGCTGGTCTCAAATTCCTGGGCCCCAGCCATCCACCCATCTCAGCCTCCAGAGTAGATGGGAGTATTGGTGTGCCACTGCACCTAGCTTAGTTTCCTTTTCAATGAGATTACTAACTAGATGTCAAAGAAATGTTTGACTTTTAATATCCACTGACTACAAATTTTTGATTATCCACTAAAACAAAACAGTTAAGAAAGTGAAGTTATAGTTATTATGAATTTCAATATTTACCTTTGTTAACTGAATGAGCTCTGAAATGTAGTTCTGATATTATTTCCCCACAATAAAAGCCACAACATCAAGTTTTTCCTATTACCTTAAAATCACTGTATCATTTTGTGGATTCAAGTATCCTTCATTTGCAAGTAAGTCCAAACGGAAAAATCTATTATAGCCCCAGCATTCTCCAACTTCAAAGTCAGATGCAAATTCTCGAATGATATTTTTTGTAGGATCATTACAGGACTGGTGAACCATCTCTACACGATATTCATATCTAAAATTGAAAAACAGACCATTACTATACAGTTAGTAAAGTAAGAATAAAAGAATCATCTAAACGTTACGGTCACTAAGTAATTACCTGAGAAGAAACCTTATTGATATATGCAGTTACATTTCCTTTTTATTTTTTTGAGATGGAGTTTCACTCTTGTCACCCAAGCTGGAGTGTAATGGTGCAATTTCAGCTCACTGCATCCTCTTACTCCTGGGTTCAAGCAATTCTCCTGCCTCCACCTCCAGAGTAGCTGGGATTACAGGCGTACACCATGCTTCGCTAATTTTGTATTTTCAGTAGAGACAGGGGTTTCGCCATGTTGGCCAGGGTGGTCTCCAACTCCTGACCTCAACCTCCCAACATGCTGGGATTACAGGCATGAGCCACCATGCCCAGCTGGAAAAATAGCAGTATACACATATATATTTTTAGACAAAGTCTCACTCTGCTGTCCAAGCTGGAATGCAGCAGGGTGATCTTGGCTCACTTCAACCTCCGCCTCCTGGGTTCAAGCAATTTTCCTGCCTCAGCCTCCCGAGTAGCTGGGACTACAGGTATGTGCCACTATGCCCAGCTAATTTTTCTATTTTTAGGAGAGACAGGGTTTCATTATGTTGGCCCGGCTGGTCTCGAATTCTTGACCTTGTTATCTGCCCACCTCAGCCTCCCAAAGTGCTGGGATTACAGGCGTGAGCCACCATGCCTGGCCCAGTATTTTTTTTTATTTTTTAGATGGAGTCACTCTGTCACCTAGGCTACAGGGCAGTGGCACGGTCTCCACTCTGCAACCTCTGACCCCTGGTTCAAGCAATTCTGCCTCAGCCTCCCAAGTAGCTGAGATTATGGGCACATGCCACCACTCCCAGTTAATTTTTTATATTTAGACAGGATTTCATAATGTTGGCCAGGCTGGACTGAAACTCCTGACCTCAGATGATCCGCCCCCTCTTGGCCTCCTGAAGTGCTGGAATTACAGCCGTGAGCTACCACGCCTGGCCAAAACAGCAGTATTTTGAATGAACTACCAAAATATGAATGGCACTAGGTTCTTTTTTCTTCATAAAGATGTTTACCAACATATCAGGTATAAGACAATAGCTCAAAAAAGAAATAATTTTTGAATAAAAAAATAATTCAAAGTTGCTTTTGTTTTACTAATGCAATATTTTTTCTATATATTCACTACATGTTTCCTTAAACATGAAATTTCTATTATCCTTTGAGGTTTATCATCATGCAATTTTAAAATACAAATTTTTAAATACTCTATTTTTTCAGTACAAGTTATAACAAAGCAAATTACTGTGTATTTAGAAATTCAAGGCTATAAAATTTCCTAATAGAAAATAAATTATGCAGGCCAGGCACAGTGGCTCACGTCTGTAATCCTAGCACTTTGGGAGGCCAAGGTGGGTGGCTCACCTGAGGTCAGGAGTTCGAGACCAGCCTGGCCAACATGGTGAAACCCCAGCTTTAAAAAAAAAATAAATAAAGAAAATAAGTATGCAGCCAGAACAAAATCATGTTTTTTTGTGCAACATGGATGGAGCTGGAGGCTATTATCCTCAGTAAACTAATATAGGAACAGAAAGCCAAATACCACATGTTCTCACTTATAAGTGGCAGCTAAATGATGAAAACTTAGGAACACGAAGGAAACAACAGATACCGGGGTATACTTGAGGGTAGAGGGTGGAAAAAGGGAGAGGAACAGAAAAAACAACTACTGGGTACTGGGCCTAACTCCTGCGTGATAAAATAATCTGTACGACGAACCCCCGTGATGAGAGTTTACCTATGTAACAAACCTTCATACGTAACTCCACACCTAAAATAAGAGTTGAAAAAAGAAAATAAGTAGGCTGGACACAGTGTTTAATGCCTGTAATCCCAGCACTTTAGGAAGCCGAGGTCGGCAGATCGCTTGAGCCCAGGAGGGTGAGACCAGCCTGGGCAACATAGTGAAACCCCGTCTCTACAAAAACAAAAAAAAACTAGCCAGGTATGGTAGTGCATTCCTGTAGTCTCAGCTACTGGAGTGACAGAGCAGGAGAATCACCTGGGCCCAGGAGGTTTGCAGTGAGCCATTGTTGTGCCACTATGGCCAGCCTCAGTGACACAGTAAGACCCTGTCTCAAAAAGAAAAAAAATATACATTGGGAAAGCCAATATATTCTGATTTATATATTCAATTGTATAAAATTTTCAGGTTTACAAAAAGATAAAGAATCTACAGTCTATAAACTTTTGTGCATTAATGGACATTATCAAGAAAGTGAAAAGACAACCTACCAAATGGGATAAACTATTTGCAAATCATATGTCTGATAAATGTTTAGTATCCGAAACATATAAAGAATTCTTGCCGGGCGCGGTGGCTCACGCTTGTAATCCCAGCACTTTGGGAGGCCGAGGCGGGTGGATCACGAGGTCAAGAGATCGAGACCATCCTGGTCAACATGGTGAAACCCCGTCTCTACTAAAAATAGAAAAAATTAGCTGGGCATGGTGGCGCGTGCCTGTAATCCCAGCTACTCAGGAGGTTGAGGCAGGAGAATTGCCTGAACCCAGGAGGCGGAGGTTGCGGTGAGCCGAGATCATGCCATTGCACTCCAGCCTGGGTAACAAGAGCGAAACTCCATCTCAAAAAAAAAAGAATTCTTGACTGGGTACAGTGGCTCACACTTGCTCACACTTTGGGAGGCTGAGGTGCGTGCATTACCTCGGGTCAGGAGTTCAAGACCAGCCTGGTCAATATGATGAAACCCTGTTTTTACTAAAAATACAAAAATTAGCTGGGTGTGGTGGTACATGCCTGTAATCCCAGCTACTCAGGAGGCTGACGCAGGAAAATTGCTTGAACCTGGGAGGCAGAGGTTGCAGTGAGCTGAGATCACGCCACTGTATTCCAAGCTGGGTGATAAAATGAGATTCAAAATAAGTAAATAAATAAATTGAGACAAGGTTGGTCTCACTCTGCCATTGAGGCTGGAGTACAATGGTGCAGACACAATTTACTGTAGCCTTTACTTCCTGGGTTCAAGCAATCCTCCTGCCTCAGCCTCCTCAGTAGCTGAGATGTGTGCAGGGTCTCACTACATTGCCCAGGTTGGTCTCAAATTCCTGGTCTCAAGCAATCCTCCTGCCTTGGCCTCCCAAAGTGCTGAGATTACAGGTATGAGCCAGGCAGTCCAGCAAATTAATGATTGAACGCAAGATATTATAAATTTTACCCTGCTGGATGTTAGATACTTCAGCATCCTTATAAATTTTCTTGAGCTTCATTCTGGGATGCAGCTAAGTTACTTGAAAACAATTTGATCCCTTCAGGTCTCACATTTGTTAGGTGGGCCCAGAGCAGTGTTCAGTCTAGGGCTAATTCCTACTACGGAGGCAAAAACTTCCTTAGCATTATACCCAATGACCCCTGAGTTATAAATTTCTCCACTGTGGCTGGTTGCAACCCACACAGTTCCTGGCCCTATGTGAGCACCAGGCATTCACTATTCTCTCTAATCATGTTAGACAGTTCTTTCCCCAATCTCTGGTAGTTTCCTCACACATATGCCCTAATAAGTACTCTGCTGAATACTCAAGGGAAACCCATAACGATCTCTAGACTTTAGTCTCTGCAGCTTTTTCCTCTCTGGTATTCTGTCAAATGCACTCTAGCTGCGTTGTCCTTCCTAAACTCTCAGCACTATTTCCTCAACTAAATCTGCCAGATTCCACCTCAGTCCTAGCTTCTCCCTGTGTTGCAGCCTGAAAACTCAAGACTGTAAGCTGGAGAAATCACAGATCTAATTTGTGTTTCTTGTCTCTCAGGGACTTCTTTCATTTGTTACCACCATGTCCAGTGTCTAGAAAATAATGTTTCATGAGGTTCTTTTTTTGTTTGTTTTGTTTTGGTTATTGCAGGGAAATGGGTAATCTCATCCCTCTTGCTTCATGTTAGCTGAAAGCAGACATTCCATATCAAACTAACAGATTTCATGTAACAGAGTAAAAAAAAAAAAATCATTAATATGATTCCAGATCCCACATTATAAATAACATTAACCTACCACTTGTTCAGTTTGGGTGTAATATCAAAGAAGATCCACAATAATCTAAAACTACTTTTTAAAAAATTCCTCCTTAACAAAAAGTATATTTGTGGTTGCCAGGGACTGAGGGAAAGGGGGAATGAGAAGTGACTGCTAATGAGTACAGGGATTCTTTGTGGGGTAAATAAAACATTGTAGATGCTGGTGATGGTTGCAGAACTCTGCAGCCAGATTTTATACATGTACTTCAATCAAAATGATATTTTTAAAAAATTAAATATAAAAGTAGACGTGAGAATCCAGTTTTCTTTTAAGCAAGACAGTAAATATATTTCCAAAAACGCAAAGCAAAAATGTCTGCTTTCAGCTAACATGAAGCAAGAACGGATGAGATTACCCATTTTCCTGCAATAACAAAAAACAAACAAACAAACAGAAACCTCATGAAACAACATTTTGTAGACAATGTTTTTAAGTTTTCTTAAAAATATAGTTTTAGAGGGGCCGGGCGCGGTGGCTCAAGCCTGTAATCCCAGCACTTTGGGAGGCCGAGGCAGGTGGATCACGAGGTCAAGAGATCGAGACCGTCCTGGT